GTATGGTGTAACACCGGGTCCAATCCACCGAACCAGAATCAGTTTCGGTTTATGTTTCGTTTTGGACGTGCTGCTTCACGTTTGCAGTTTAATAATAATAACTAATAGTTTAGTTTTTCCTGTCACTTATTTGCAGTTTGATAAATGGTAGGAGCATAATATACGCTCCCAATGTTTTGTTGGTCTTTTTTTTTTGTAAATAATTACCTTTTTTTGCGGTTTTATTTATTTATTTATTTTTGTATCTTGAGATGATGTCATCAAATACTCGAGTTCTACTCGGGTTTTATTATGTTAATGTCGAGTTTTAAAATTATATACTCGTTCAACCCCAAGCTCTCGCTATTCTTACCTTTTAATACCTACTGAGCCAATTTAACCAGTGAACTTTTGATGAACTGCTCGAATTTGTCACACTTTGAGTAACAATGCCACCCAAAACCTCTAAAACGATTGAAAAAGTTGAGCCTTAGGTCACAATCAGTAAGGCTGATTTGGTAGCCGCGTTAGCCGACCACAAGTTAGCCCTGCTCTCCGAACTATAAAGACTTCAAAGAAGTGAATGAGAAGCTGGATGGGACCAGAAACATGCATGTTAGGCTGATTGGTAACTCTAAATTGTCCCTAGGTGTGAATGAGAGAGTGAATGGTTGTTTGTCTCTATGTGACCCTGCGATGGACTTGCGACCCATCCAGGGTGTACCCCGCCCCTCGCACAGTGATTGCTGGACATGAGCACCGGCGACCCCCGCGACCCAAAATGGAAGAAGCGGGTAAAAGATAATGGATGGATGGATGGATGGATGGATATAATTCTGATAATCGCTGTAATCCCTATCTTTTCCAGAACTTATTTGAAAATCTGCCTGTCCTCAATCTAAGCCCAGATCAAGTAGCTGCCCTGGACGCACCTATTTCAGAGCAGGAGATTGTAGGAGCAATTAAATTATTGCATCCCAGGAAATCACCTGGTCCAGATGGCCTGCCTAGTGAGTTTTATGCAGCATTCTCTGAGCAGCTGGCTCCAATTCTGGCAAACATGTATAAACACTCTTTTAGTAGAGGGTCCCTTATTTTACGCTGAATCAAGCCTAAATAACACCGCTGCTTAAAAAAGATAAGAACCCCACAGAATGTTCATCCTATAGGCCGATTTCATTACTGAACAGTGATTATTAAATATTAGCAAAAGTGTTGGCCTGCCGTCTGGAGCGAGTTTTACCTAGTGTCATATCCCCAGATCAGACAGGATTTGATCAAAACAGACACTGTTTTATAATATACGTCGTTTATTGAATGTTATGCACACCCCTTGTCAAAATAACTCTGAATGTCTTCTCTCCCTGGATGCAGAGAAGGCATTTGACAGAGTGGAGTGGATCTATATGTTTGAAACTTTAGAGAGATTTGGTTTTGGCAGGACATTTATATCTTGGGTCAAGTTATTGTATTCCTCCCCGTCAGCCATGATTCTGACAAATAACGTTTACTCTAAACCATTCAGCTTGTTCCGAGGGACCCGGCAGGGGTGCCCACTTAGCCCCTTACTTTTTGTTTTGGCTATTGAGCCTTGGGCTTTGGCCATAAGGACAAACAGCACTATTAAAGGCATTACCAGGGGTAGGGTGGGGCATAAACTTTCTCTTTATGCTGATGACCTTTTGTTGTACATGTCTGAGCCAGAACTGACCATGCCTCACTTTTTTTACTTTTTCATTTTCCCTTTATTTATACAGGTAGTCTCACTGAGCCATGAGAACTAATTTTCAAGAGAGACCTGTTTTAGGGAGTAGATGCGGGGGGTTAAGGGCCTTGCTCATGGGCTCAGTGTGGGGCGAATGAGGGTGGGGGCAAGTGTGGGTGCTTCAACTACCCCACCCACATTTTTGATGTTGTCGGGGCCGCGGCGTGAACCGGCGATCTTCGGATCATAGGCCCACCTCTCTAACCTCTGCGTCACCACTCTCCCAACGTCTCAACACTCCTCTCTCAGTGTCAGGGTTTAAGCAGGCAAGGGTGAACCCAATGGTGTAGACAAGTACTCAGGAGCCAGGAGATACAAAAATAAAGATATTCAATAAATATAAATCAAAATGGCTGACGTGGAAGCAACTCACTCTTAGGAGATGCAACTGGAACACACAACAGGACAGGGTAGATCCAATGATGACGCGACAAAGGACAAGACTCACAGACAGGCTTGAATACACAGACAAGAAAGGGACGTGATTACAAACAGCTGGGAACAGGAGGTGGAATCAATCAAGAATAATGAGACAAGCATGCACAGACAGGGAAGGCCCACAAGATGGGGCCAGTCCTACACTCAGTTTGGAGAAATTTCTGGGTATAAAATAAACGTGCATAAGAGCGAACTTTTGTTTTTGAACTCCAATAACCTAGACTGTATCACAAATAGTACACCTTTTAAGATAGCTACTCATAGTTTTGTCTATCTAGGCATTACAATAACAAAGACATTTGATGACCTTTACAAAAATAACGTTGCTAAAATGCTGATTGAAGTCCAACGGGACTTAACTAAGTGGTCGGCCCTCCCCCTCTCTCTAACTGGAAGGGTGAATACAATCAAGATGTCAGTGTTCCCTAGATTTATTTACCTCTTTCAGTGTCTCCCTGTTTTTATTCCAGGTACTTATTTTAAAAAGTTAGATTTGGTCATTTTGACTTACATCTGGAATGGCAAAAAGCCTCGGCTAAGGAAAGACTACCTGCAAAAATCAAAGCAAGATGGGGGTCTGGCTCTTCCCAATATCCCGCACTATTATTGGGCATGTAATTTGTGTTGTCTGTCCTTTTGGGTGTACTATAGCTCCAACGATGGGGGTCCCATTTGGTGGAGATAGAAAAGCTCCTCTGCATCCTTTATCTCTGCCAACTTTGACTGGCGAATCCTTACCCTTACCTCTTAATCGTACTTCTTCTAACTGTATAGTTTATAACTCCCTCGCAATCTACTCACAATTTAGGAAACACTTTGGCCTTCATCAGTTAAGTCTTTCTAGTCCAATTGCATTTAATAACCTTTTTCCTCCTTCTTTGCAAGATGCTACTTTTAGTGGGTGGCGAAGTAAAGGTTTAAAATATTTTAAGGATCTTTTTATTGAAAACAAGTTTGCTGCTTTTGCACAACTGTCTAATAAATATGATTTGCCGGCTTCTCATTTTGTCAGGTATTTACAGGTTAGGCATTTTATTGCCTCATCCACTCCAAGCTTTCCTGATAAACCTCTCGATAATATAATTGATGAACTGATGTGTTTTGATCCATTGAGGAGTAAAGCAGTTACTTCTTTGATAAAACTAATCTCTCATTTAGATTCCCGATCCTTTGCCACAACTAAACAATCCTGGGAGCAGGACCTTCAAATTACAATTAGTGAGACAGTTTGGGCTGATGTTTTGAGGAAAATTCACTCATCTTCAATATGTGCAAGGCACCCTCTTATCCAGTTCAAAGTGGTACACCAGGCATACCTTTATAAATCTAAACTGGCTAGAATCTACCCTCAAATTGACCCTTCATGTGACAGATGTAAATCAGAAGAAGCCACATTAGTACATATGTTTTGGACTTGCCCCAGGATACAAATATACTGGGCTGGTATCAGTGAAGCACTCTCAGCTGTTTTTGGAGTCCATATTACCACAAACCCATTTATGCTGCTTTTTGGGATCACTCCTGAGGGATTAGGTTTATCTACTGGAGGTGGGAAGGTAATTGCAATTTCAGCCCTGCTAGCACACCGTCTGATTCTTCTGAAATGGAAGGATGCTGCTCCACCCACAGTGTCAAACTGGATAAAAAATGTATTACTTAATTTAAAACTAGAGAAAATCAGGTATGTGATGAGAGGCTCTGAAAATAGATTTCATAAAACCTGGAAATCTTTTATGACTTTTTTCAATAAACCCTCAACAATGGTCCAAGAATAGAAGGCTCTTTTGACTGAGCCTAGATCCATAAACCTTGACATTGGTGTTTGTATAGTCTTAATTGTTTTTGTTGCATACCTTGTAGGTGACAGTATTTACTGGGGTCTGGGTGTTTTTTTATTTATTTTTTTTATTTTATTGTATTTTTTATGGGCAGCACGGTGGCGCAACTGGTAGAGCTGCTGCCTCTCAGCGAGCAGGTCCCTGGTTCAAACCCCGGTCCACGGGCCTTTCTGGGTGGAGTTTGCATGTTCTCTCCGTGCATGCGTGGGTTTTCTCCGGGTACTCCGGTTTCCTCCCACAGTCCAAAAACATGCATGTTAGGCTGATTGGTAACTCTAAATCGTCCCTAGGTGTGAGTGAGAGAGTGAATGGTTGTTTGTCTCGTTTGTCTCTATGTGTCCCTGTGATGGACTTGTGACCCGTCCAGGGTGTACCCCGCCCCTCGCACAGTGATTGCTGGACATGGGCACCAGCGACCCCCGTGACCCAAAATGGAATAAACGGGTAAAGAAAATGGATGGATGGATGGATGTATTTTTTATTTTCTTCCATGTAATTGTGTTTTTTTTTTCTTTGTATGTAATGTGGAAAAATTAATAAATATATTAAACACTAAAAGTTAAATCATGTCATCTGGACAATTTTTTTAATGGAGAATTTGCAAACTACACACAAAAAGACTTGGAATCAAACCTGTGACTGCTGTCTTGCTGCTACGGCGCTTACCATCTTCTGTTATGCTGCCTCGCCCGTTTTCCTGTTTTTTTCATGTGTAGCAATTATTAATTTTAATTGAATTATATTTTTCTCATATACTGTATTATATTCGATCTACTTGTTGAACTGAAATAAATGTTTGAATTGATTCAGTAGAGTAGTAAACTCATGTCATGTTGGAGGACTCATCAGAAAGTTACCAGATCAATGGCTGAACATGAGTATTTGATTAACTACCCTGTAAATTAAAATTAAACAATATTTCCTATAAGCACTTGTTGTGTTCAGTTCTACATTGGTTTCTTTGTGCAATCATTTGTCAGGCACGGTCCTGTGGGTTTGATTCATGTGGATGCTCATGCTGACACCAGTGACATGATACTGGGGGAGAAGATCGGTCATGGGACTCCGTTCAGACGCTGTGTGGAGGAAGGGCTTCTGGACTGCAAGAGAGTGGTTCAGATTGGTCTGCGAGGTTCAGGATACTCTGCAGATGCGTATGAATGGAGCCGGGCTCAGGTACCCTGTATACATTATTGGACCTGATAATCAACCTAGGATCACATTAAACTGGTTTAACATTCTGGACTAATTTTATAATTTAATTGGCTTAATTGATAGTTGGTTGTAGTTGGTTGTGTATGGAGGCATCTAATAAATATTTACAAACTTTTGAGCATGGACTTTGTTATTTACAAACTTGTTTTTCCAGGGTTTCCGTGTGGTCCAGGCGGAAGAGTGTTGGTTCAAATCCCTTGCACCATTAATGTCTGAGGTCAGGACTCAGATGGGCAGCGGACCGGTCTACCTTAGTTTTGACATTGATGGTCTAGATCCAGGTTTTGCCCCGGGAACTGGCACACCAGAGATAGCAGGACTCACACCCATACAGGTAAACTTAACATTAAATTTACCTTATAACATTTAATTAACCTCACCTCATGTATTATAGTTGTTTTATATTTCCATCCATTTTCTGCCACTTATCAGTGGTTGGGTCACAAAGACAACAGGCCAAAGAGGGAAACACAGACATCCCAATCCCCAACAACGCTCTCCAGATCCACCTTTGGGATCCCAATACATTACGAGGCCAAAGAAGATTCATATTTTCTCCAGAAATTATTGCGTCTCCCCCGGAGTCTCTTCCCAGTGGGAACTTCCTAGAAAACTTCTAGAAGGAGGTGTTCCTTATTTTATCATGAAAGTATGGCCACCCATGGAAAAAGATCTGTTCAGCTTCTTATATCTGGGATCACATTCTTTTGGACATGGTCAGTGTTTTGGGACCATAAACTAATGTTGAAACATACAGCACTTTGAAGTAAACTTTCTTGGGGAGGCGGAGAAGTGTTGAACAATGTCACAATCGTTCAGCATTTCATGGCATGACCAGACATGTGCAAATTCCTCTACTTCTGCTGTCCTGCCACAGATGAGCTGTATAACTGCCACAGCAACCTCTGTAAGAAACTCTCCTTCCATTGAGTCCTTGGTCATCTTCCCCTTGAAGTTGGACATGGTGACTCAAGGTGTTCCTAAATGTATTTCTTCCACCATTTGACAATGTCTTCCATCCAGGTCTGCAGTTCCCCCACTCACTTCAAGCACAGCCTGCAGGGATGCAACGTCTTACTGATTTGTAGAACAGTTTGCAAGAAACTCTTTGAGGTCAACCGTAAACTCTTTTTCCATGGCCTCTTCGAATTCCTCCCATATCCAAATTTTTGCTTCCACAATCATAGACCTTCTGATCGTCCTGTACCTGTCAGGTGCTTCAGGAGTTCTCAGGGACAGCCAAGACCAGCCAGCTTGCTAGCCTTCATTTCAACTAGTTTTCACCATCGTTTTGGGTTAACCGGGTCATACTGGCAGCTTCCCACCACTAGATAAAACTCACCACCAGATGGGGATCAAGTGACATCTCTGTCCCTCTTTTTACTCAAGGGTGGAAAACAATTTATTAATTTTACCCTAAAACTTGTTGCCAAATTCACTGTATCCATGACTTTAAACATGCTGATATATAAATATTGCAGACACTTGATGCTTCAAGTAAAAAAGGTTTAAACTGTTCTTTTCTGTACGATGGAAGTGATTGCTGAATAAAAATCGATGTCCAGTTATATTTGAGTGGACGAGAAGAAGCCAAAATAAATGATTTGTGCATTCAGGACAGGAGACGTTTACTTTCTAAGCACAACATCCCAGTGGTTTTTAAACTCCAAAATACATTACAGCAAAGACTGGTTCATCCCAAAGATCCAGTCCCCCGGCACAAACAGAGTAATATTGTGTATGCTGTTCAGTGTCAGGAGGGTGATCAGTCTTACATCGGGGAAACTAAACAGCCACTGGCCAAAAGGATGGCCCAGCACAGAAGATCAACATCATCAGGCCAGGACTCTGCGGTCTACACTCATCTCCAGGCCAGCGGTCACTCTTTCAGGGATGAAGATGTTCACATCCTGGACAGAGAGGAACGATGGTTTGAGAGAGGAGTAAAGGAGGCCATCTTTGTGAAAAGAAACCGTCCATCGTTAAACAGGGGTGGAGGCCTCTGTGTTCAACTATCCCACTTTTACAATACTGTTATTGCTAGTATCACTCAACCCCCTGTGAATAGTAAACAGCCATCAGTGTGCTAATGATCCATCGTTAGGCTGATGGTCCTTCTTGACCATGTGAGCAGCTGGTTTTGGTTGTTAGCAGCAAAACTGGTTGATCCACTCTGAGAAGGTGCTATTTAAGAGACTGAGCTGAAAACAGCACCTCAGACTGAGGAAGTCTCTCGGATGAGAGACCAAACGTTTCTATATATATATATATATATTTTTTTTTAATATCCAGAGGACCAGATTTAACTTTTTAGATTTTTCTACCTGGATTATAGAGCATGCATCAGGATGATTTGTGCATTATTTTCACCCTGAAACTTACATATTTTATTTGATTCAAAATACAAAAATATTTTAATTTTTTGTCATATATTTTGGTTTTGGCTTGTTCAAATATTTAAATTCAGTGAGTACAAAAACTTCTTATTGAGAAACAGTAAAAGTGCTTTGAGTATAGTTGGATAGAAAGGTGCTAAACGAGTACAATTAATTTCTAATTTACCATTTAGATTAAACAAACATTGGCTGTTTAAACAAACTTGTTTATTTTTTAAGTATATTGTTTATTGTTGTCCTCTTCGTTACTAAAACTGTATTTTCTTCTTTATTTTTATTGGACTCAGGGAGTTGAGATCATTCGAGGCTGTCGTGGTCTGAACCTCGTTGGATGTGATCTAGTGGAGGTGTCTCCACCTTATGACACCACAGGTACTTTAGTCACATTTCTGTCATTATAGAATTATTATTGATGGTATTTTAACTCTGATGTTTGCTTGAATTCCTTCACACAGGAAACACTTCACTGACTGGGGCCAACCTCCTCTTTGAAATGTTGTGTGTTCTGCCAAAAGTTAAATACTACTGATGTAGTACTGATGTAGTACTGATGTAGTGTATCAGGGTGTTTTAAAGCACCCTGATGCACTTTTAATGGACTACACATATCTCCATGACAACAAGGTCTTTTTTTTTACATTTTGTACTGTGTTATAAGAAAGACATATTTACAATTTCATATTTTTCCAGCTTGAATGTGAAGCAGTTATTAGGTATAATAAATGAACATTCAGAGACAAGCTCAAATGTTTAGCTAAATGTGGTATTTTAGATTATGCTTTAAATGACTGCAGATGTATTCACTGCTTTTGTTGATAAATAAATCATGCATTCATTTAAAATTCACAAATGTCCATTTTGTCTCGTAATTTTCAGCTCAACAACAAACTTTGAAAAAATGAGAGGTGCAAAGTTTTTTCCAAACGCTGGTTGAAACAGTCCCTCTAGATGACCCAAGGCCTTTTTTTCTGTTTCCTACGGTCATTTGGCCATGGCCTCTATCTTGTTTGATTGTCTCCAAAAGCTAGTTTGTGATAATCTTTTGAAAGCTTCATTTAAAGTCATGCAGTGGTTTGTGAGATATTTGGCATACAGATAGACACAGTTGACTCCAATAGTTATTGGCAAAGTATTTGCCAAAAATTGTAAATCCACTGATCGGGGCCGCAGTTCCTCAGTGGTCAGTGTTAGTAATCCTGAGGCTACGGGTTTGAGCCCAGGTTGCATCAAAAGAACATCTGGCAGAAGAAAAAAAAAAACCACTTACTAAAACTTTAATCTGAATTCACCTGCTATGGTGATCTCTGAAGAAATAAGTAAGAAATATTTATGGAAAAATTTGGCATACACACGGTTTCATATAAGGCAGTACATAATCTGTGAGTGCAACAGAAAGCTGGTACGACTTCATTTCTAAATGTGTCTAAGGGGCGTTGACCTTCAAAGATGAAGCCATTCATTTCCCGGCTCATCTGCTGCTCTTTGGCACAGCTGTTTTCTGCAGCTGCACATGTTGGCAGCAGACGCTGTATTACAGTCACAGCATTCTGAGACGCCTTCTCATAAAAGCACTGTAGGAACAAAAACATGAACTGTGAGGACGAGGACGGAACATCTCAACAACATAAAAGAACCGTCTAGATGACCCGACTGAACTTTGTTCAATTTTCTACCTGGATTATTGAGCATGAACTTTGATGTGAGGGCTTTGGTAATTTTATTTTATTTTTATTTTTATTTTTTTTGTGGCTCAATGAGGCTAACCTGTATAAATAAAGGTTGAATGAAAAAAACAGAGAACAGGCCAAAAGAAAAACAATAAGAAAGATATATATAAAACGAGTTCACCAAACTCAAAGTCGCTCTGACCCATTCCTCATCATTAAACATTAAAAACATTAAAAGCAGTTGCATTGATCAAAAAAACTATTCTCTCTCTCATATCCTGATGCATGCTCAATAATCCAGGTAGAAAAATCCAAAAAAGTTCAACCTGGTCCTCTGGACATTCAAAAAAAAAAAAAAAAACTTTTTTGCTTTTTTTTTTTGAATGTCCAGAGGACCAGATAGAACTTTTTTGGATATTCTCTCTCTCCTTAAATAGTTTTAAACATATCATAGTAACTAGCGCTGACAATTTAGAGTGTTTTAAAGAACTTATTACAGTCTAAAAAAGTTAAATCTGGTCCCCTGGACATACATAAAAATTTTTTTTTAGAAATGTTTCGTCTTTCATCCGAGAGACTTCCTCAGTCTGAGGTGCTGTTTTCAGCTCAGTCTCTTAAATAGCACCTTCTCAGAGTGGATCAACCAGTTTGCTGCTGACAACCAAAACCAGCTGCTCACATGATCAAGGAGGACCATCAGCCTAACAATGGATCATTAGCACACTGATGCCTGTTTACTATTCACAGGGGGTTGAGTGATACTAGCAATAACAGCATTGTAAGAGGGGGACAGTTGAACCCGGAGGCCTCCACCCCTGTTTAATGATGGACGATTTCTTTTCACAAAGATGGCCTCCTTTACTCCTCTCTCAAACCATCGTTCCTCTCTGTCCAGGATGTGAACATCTTCATCCCTGAAAGAGTGATCGCTGGCCTGGAGATGAGTGTAGACTGCAGAGTCCTGGCCTGATGATGTTGATCTTCTGTGCTGGTCCATCCTTTTGGCCAGTGGCTGTTTAGTTTCCCCGATGTAAGACTGATCACCCTCCTGACACTGAACAGCATACACAATATTACTCTGTTTGTGCCAGGATTATACTTAGTTACTCTCAAAAACACACAGATAAGAAGGCACCAGCACACGTAGAGACTTGTATATAAAAACCAACCAGTGTGGAAATCTGTGGACAAAGGACGTGACATGGTTTGTGCAGACAGGACCCAGGAGACAGACATGAGGACCTTGAGTCAAACAAGAACCTACATTTTATCAGAAAAACAAAATGCTGATATCATGGCAGCAGCAACTTACAATAAGTCCAGAAGACATGGAGGAAAAACCATTTCATTTTCAGACTCTTTAATGGTTTTAATGAGGAAGTTCAGACAACTCTTTACTGTTTTATAATATTAAACTTAGATTTGCCTGTTCAACATCAACTTCAGCTGCGTTAGAGGGAACTGAACAGCATCAAAGTCAGCCTGGATAAATCTGAGGGTTTGACTTAATGGTGGAGATGAACAACTGATGATTAATGAAAGAGGTGTTCATGATCGCAAACATGACGTAAACGTCAAAAAAATAAAAAATAAAAAAAGCAAGTTTTGTGCTCATCATAAATGTGTTTAAGGGACGTGCCTGAGGTCTGGCACTTATCACATATGACTGGTTGTAGTTTCTCCTTAAAACTGTAAATAACTTTGAACCGAATGAGACGTGTTTTACATCGTCTGAGCACCCACAGATCATCTGGGATTAGAGATACTCAGGTCTTCTGCAGCTGATCACCGATACCGATCACATGGATTGGCTGTAAATTTTTTGATTTAGTTAAGACGAGTACCTTAATTTGGACAAAAACATGTTTTTATTTACTTTTTCAAGAGAAAAAATACAAAAACCTTGCAGGAACAATGCAGCATCTATTCAGTCAGAAGGACAACTGAAAAACTGTCCCTGCTGTCAGTGACAGAGTCTGTAACAGAATGAAAACATTAAGGTTGTCAGCAGGCGAAACAGACAGTCCAGTCTCTGCAGGCTCTGTAAAGGTGTTGGTTTTTTGTGATCGGCATTGAAAGGCATTGATCGGTATCGGTCGATCACATAGTTTTTAATGGAAATCGGCCGATCATTATCGGTGGCCAATCGATCGGAACATCAGTAGCTGGGATCAAGTCACCAAGCTCCTCTCGCCATTTGCACCTGTGGTTTCCAGTGGGGGAGGAGCAAGTTGACAAGAAATTGTTACAAATATCAGATATTGATTTACTTTATTTGGTTGATAGTTTTAAATAATTATTTATTGGGGGAAATTCAGGATTGTATTTATAATGAACGAGAAGTCTGATTCAGAAATAATCTTTCTCTTATGAGGAAAGTTCTAAGATTGTTTGAAGAGTACCGCAATGATGATGATACAGAAGATACACAACAATTTTCAGTCAGGTCATCTGGACAGTTTCTTTTTTTTTTTCCGAAACATTTCACCTTCCATCCAGAAGGCTTCATCAGTCAAGGAAACACACAACACAAAACCGATTCTTCCCCCAAACAGCTTACTCCAAAGTGGAACAAACCAGCTATGTTGGTGATCTGATTGAAAATTGTTGGATTGTATACCTGGATTATTGAGCATGGACTTATTTTTTTTGATACAGAAGATACTACTAGTACACACACACACGCACGCACGCACACACACACACACACACAGGTATATAGTCAACAAGAATTTTGTTCTGTTCATAATGAAGCTCTTCTCTTGTGAAGCCCTTTATGATTCAAAATGTGACAAATGGTGAGATCAGAAAGTGATGTATGTTGAAGTTCAGCTTGAACAGGTTTTATGGATTTCCCAGCTCTTTGTCTGTCATCAGCACTACCTATTTAATCAACCTGGGGTTGCATTTCCTCTTGCGTCCATGTCCTGAGAGGTTAATTACAGTCTCAGGAACTGTATACTGTTTATTAGTAATGGCAGCTGTGGTGACAGGAACTCGAAGCTGCTTGGAGATGGTCTTTTAGCCTTTAACAAGAATATCTATTTTCTTCGTTCTGAGCTCCTCACACAGCGCTCACCTTTATTTTCTCTGCTCCATGTTCAGCCACACCCTGTAGCTTATATTCTCTTTAAACAGACTGAACGGCTGATAGAAAAGCTTGAAGGAGACACTAATCAAAGTGAAGTGCTTTGTTTAAAACCTGACTAAAATGCAAAGATTAATATCATACTAAAACAACAAATCTACCCATAATATTTTCACAAAATCACTTTATCACATTCTAAAGGCATGCAGATATACATATGACCACTTTTCACAACAAATGAAATGCTTCAATGTAATTGTGACATTTATTTGTACATTAAACATTACCATGTATTTCAGAGTCAGAGATTCTTTATTGGTGGTGGAACGAAATTATGTACACAGGGTCCCAGTTACATCCAACAATAAAATCCATCCATCCATTATCTTTTACCCACTTCTTCCATTTTGGGTCACGGGGTTCGCCAGTGCCCATGTCCGGCAATCACTGTGCGAGGGGCGGGGTACACCCTGGACGGGTCACAAGTCCATCACAGGGCCACATAGAGACAAACAACCATTCACTCTCTCACTCACACCTAGGGACAATTTAGAGTTACCAATCAGCCTAACATGCATGTTTTTGGTCTGTGGGAGGAAACTGGAGTCCAACAATAAAATGTAAAATAAAAACAATGATAACATCTAAGATATGAACTAAGAAAAACATCAACAAAAAATACGTTAAGCACTAATAGCATAAAAACATTATGTCAAACAGCAGCATGAACATGAGCATGAGTGTGTGAGCAGAAGAGCATGCATGAACACATCA